AGGTATTATTAAAAATTACTTTTGAGGCATGGGATGTAGAATTGGGGAGATGAACCCATCTTCTTCAAAGATGAATTATGGAAAACTAATTCGTTTATAATATCTCAAATGTCTGTAGACATGTCTGAGCCAGAAGCTGTATTACTTAACCTTAACAGGATTTTCCTGCAGAACAAGCACAAAGCTTGGTTGTGGGAAGATAAATAGGAGAAGAGAAGCAGGCACCTTATGCTATGTACTTCATATCACACTCCAGATAAAAGAATTGTTGGGTTCATAAGTGGAAACGTGGCATAAAATACTAAAACTGACACAGTGGAATTCCATATTTTATGTTCTAGAATATTTTATATTCTTCTAAAATTTTTCATGTTTGATTTCTGGAAGAATAGTATCTTAAAAGGAAAAAAAATACTTATTACTTCTAAACTTTTAGGCTTCTTTATTTAAATATAAACGCAAATTAATGCTCCTTGTTTGCCAAAATGTTGAGTGTGAACTGTCATAAGTATATCAAAGGCTGAATGTTGTTGAAGATAAGTCTTTTTTCTTTTATTTTGAACATGTTGGTTGTTTGAAATAATATATATTTGCCTCATAAGGTGATCATTACCTAATTTTATTATGAGATGAAATCTAACCCATTATGGGCTTCCATATCAAAACTACTTTACTGAGTACTTTCTTTGCTTTTCAGTATATTAAAACCTGAAAAGAGTTAAACAGAACAGAATGGGAGGCAGGGTAGCAGAGAAGGACCGAGAGTGTTTTCATACAGTTGAAGGCAGTGGGCAGTTTCATGGAGAGAGAAGATTTGAAACACCCAAGGAATCTTATAGATAGAAGAAGTCCCAAAGCCATACAATCAGATGTTTTTGTTTCTCCACCAAGGAAACCTGGGCATTGAGGTTAAATGCCAAGACCACAATTCTCCAGGCAGTATCTTTATACAAGGCACCGAGAGAGAAGTGGGATCCGTGAGTGGCCCTGAGGAATGGGTTGTTGTGGGATGTGTTAAAATTCAATTAGTGTTACTATGTGCCAAGCTAATGTTATGACCTTCACACTTACTATATCTTTTACATGATCATAACAACCTTATAGAGTAAATTTTATTGGCTGAGGTCCAAGGAAGTGAAGTAGCTTTCCCAAGGACTGGGGCATTCTATCACAGATTCAAACTCACCTTTTGTGATGCTGATTTGGTGGGCAAACATTGCAGGTGTTGAGTTGGTTTGAAATAACAAACGGGAGGCATATGTTGGAGGAAGAGAAGGTAAGACACCTTGCTTAGTAAGAGCAGAGTTTCCAAGGCTGGGAAGTAGTGAAACCTATGGAGGCTATTGCATCTATAAAAAGTTCGATTTACACATAAAATCCAGGGTGAGTTTGTTTCATACAACAAAATAGAGTATTACAACACCGAAGCAGAAAGAAAGGGAGGGAGGGAATTAATGACATCTGAAATAAAACTTAGCCTAGCTGATGAAAAACATTCTATGTATGAATGATTAGAATATATATTAATATTCAAAACGGCCAGGGAAACAAGAGGATGCAGCACATTGTAACAGTGGTTATCTCTATGTAGTTGGATTATAAGTAATAGTTTTCTTCCTCATTCATTTCTTTTTCTTCAAATTTTCTGCAGGGAGCCTGCATTGATTTTATGATTAAAAAAAATCAATTTCTATAAAAAGAAATACATACATGGAAACTAGATTATTTGCTGAATTGAAAACATTGCCAATTTTAAACTACCACCAGAAATGAATTTGAGATAAAAATTAGAACAGCTTCTACTGAACTAGAATATAACTCGTTCATTATTTCATATATGTATTATTTTTAATTCACTTTTTTTCCTAATTAGGATTAAAAACTTAAGCTAACATTCTGTTTTTGATTAACTCTTCACAAGAAATTGGTGGTTTTTAAATGTCAGATTGTACATTCCAGATATGGATTTTAAAACCGTTCCTTGGATTTTGGCTTGTAAAGTTGGCAGATATTACCTAACTGATTGTGCTAATAGAATTTAAGAAGAATATCCATTTTTGTCCTTATCACATAGAACATGTTCCTGGGCAGATACTGAATTTCAGTAATTTATGTTGACCTATATAATTTCAAGCCGGACATTAGATTTATAATAAGCACATAGGTAATTCTTACTAACTATATTTGTTTCAGTTCCTGTGTCTTTTTAAAATTTCTTTTATTTATTTACTTAGTTAGTTAGTTCCTGTGTCTTTTTAATTTCATGGAATATTGTTAGCTGTAGCCTTAGTTCTCAACCTGCCTTAAGGTGCTGTTTCAATTTATCTGTTGCATCTTGATACCATTCATTCAGATCTGTTTGATAAATGGCATTTATTTTGTGCCTTTTCTCCAAAAATTCCTAAAAATGGGTAGCTAATTTTTCTTTGAAATTATTTAAATTGCTACAAGCCAAACATCGGAACACTTTAGGATTTAAAGCAACGTTTATTGACAACACTGTTTGAACTGCACAGATTAAAATAAGTTTCTAAAGCCTCTCTATCCGTTATTTTCAAATAGGATGCTCTGTGATCTAAGTTTAGTTTTCAAAACATGATTTTTATTAATATCGATTAATTTACATCCTAGATATATCTTCCCTATTCCAAAATTCACAAATTTCTTTCCTCCATAAAATCCTCACTGAAGTCACATCACATACTTGAACACTGTCCCAAGACTTAACATTTTTCTGTTGTTTTCTTCTGGATGTGCTAATGTCTCCAGTTACATTCCTTTGCCTGTTCTGCTTTTTAGATGTTAGGTACTTGAGGGTAAGAAGACAACCTAGCTGATTTTCTGCATGTGACATCGTATATGGTGCCCTGGGTCAAAAAACGTTGAGTGACTATATATCTCTGACACTATTTTAAGACATTTAGGTCAATAATTTTGCCCTTGGCATTTTTCTACTATTATAACTGCTTGTTTGTATTACATATAAAAGTTACTTTGGTATTTTTGTCTGTGATTGATCACAGTTGAATTGCTACCCAGGAAATCTCTCCAGAAAATGGAAAGTGTTTATTTATATAAGGTGTTCTTGAACTCACACATAATGTGACTTTGGAGTCCCCTACAAAAAATAAAGTGCTATATTATTTCCTGATAGGTATTTTTTTCTCACTTTAGAGATAAAGTAATTCACTAAGACCTTTGTATGCCAGACTATTCCCAGTCATTGACATTCCCCGATAGAAATAATTATTTTTTTGACTGAGTTTGAACTTGCTTCGGCCACTTTAAAAATTTATAAATATATGCATTTTTAAAAACTAACCAAATCCATCAACTGACATTTGTAATCACACACAGATCACATTCACAAAATTTTCCAATAATAATCATTTTGTGTTAGAACATCTGCTTTCTCAAAGCAGAGAGAGCTTTCAGCTGTATCATGGTCTCTTCAAACCCTTCACATTGTAGTGTAAACTCCTTGCACAGAATCAGTATCTATGGTTTCTTCATGTTAACAATGCATGTCCTATGGGTTTTGTTCATTAGCTACCTTTGTGTTGTGAGAAATTCTTAAATAATAATTTCTGAAAACTCCTTAAGAATCCTCTTTACTGAAAATAGGTTTTCTTAAAACATTTTTGATGACAAAAGATGTATAGTGCATTTCATATTGCTCAAAACAGCTCGTGGCTTTCATCCAACTAGAAGAATAAAAAAAAATGAAAGATCAATCCCAGTTCAAAGGAGGGAAAAAAAAGAAGGAAAAAAAAAGAGGAATGATAAGTTTTGGATATTTGTAGGAAGGCTTCAAAGTCCAGTATTTCTTGATCAATAGTAGCTTAGGTGTATTTGATGACCCCTGGAAAGCTTCATAAATTATTTTTAAAAAGACAAAGGGAAGAATATTGTGTAAAAATCACAGGCAAATATGTAAATACAGCAATGATCAGAATCTAATAGAATCTTGTACCTTATATTTAGATGGTGGGCAGGGTAAATATTTTCCCGAATATGAAACCAAGAGTAAAAACAAAAATTAAAAAAAAATATTAACTTTATTCTGTTAGTAATTGGACAACTTTGAACATTAAAGAAACTCTACACTCTTCCTCTTTTAGCAGTTTCCACATAAGATAATGAGTATGCCAAGAAGTACTGGAAACCCCCTTCCTTGCCAGGGGTGATGATTAGCTTGTGAGTTTGCATGCTTTTCAGGTGAACAGAGTTTGGCAACAATGCTTGATCTGAATATTCTGGAGTATTTTATTGACTTTGAAATGAATAGTATAAAATACTTACCAGTATTGAATTTATTTTACCTATTTAACAAAATATTAAACTGAATAAGTAGTGAATTTTTTATGTTTATATGTTGTTTTATGTTGTTTTCCTGTGGGTTGAGGCAATATTTTTAATTAGCTTTTGTAAAATGGGATTTGGACAATTGAAATTAAATAAGTCAGAATAAGGCAAGCAGGGTATTTGGATTTTTAATTGAAATACCAGAGATTTTGAAAAACCTACGGGCAAGGTTTAAAATTCTCTCTTTCTAGGAGAATTACTTAATCTCTGCCCCATTACTGTGTCTTTTGCAGTCATATTTAACACTTTCTGAGAAAATTCTATTCTGTATATTCTTATAAATGTTCGCTAATTCATTTTGAATATGAGATTCCATGGTAATATCTGCACACTTTCTAGGTCCCCTCACTATTTACATATGACCTCAAAAATAAGGAAGACAATAAAGGATAAGGAAAAATAAAACAAATATGTTAAACTATCTAAGTGCTTGAGAAATATATTAGTTTCTTCAGCAATCTTCTGAATGTTATTCATAAGGATACTTTTCCAATTTAATTTACTTTGATTCCACATCAAGTATACAGAAATTTCAAATTTAATTTACTTTGATTCCACATTAGTATATACCTTTCAGTAGGGTGTGTTGTATGTTTCTCTAAATTCTTCTCTTCTCTATGTTTTTTCTTTTCCAGTTACTGGCTGACAAACAAAGTTCCCATTAAGAGACCCAGCACAGGTCTCCTCATGTATACACTTGCCACAAGATTCTGTGATGAAATTCACCTGTATGGATTCTGGCCATTCCCTAAGGATCTGAATGGAAAAGCTGTCAAATATCATTACTACGATGACTTAAAATATAGGTACTTTTCTAATGCCAGTCCTCACAGAATGCCATTAGAATTCAAAACATTGAATGTGCTACACAATAGAGGAGCTCTGAAACTAACAACAGGAAAGTGTGTAAAGCAATAAAGCACATTTGAAAACATACAAACTGAATACGCACTTCTTTTCTGAAGATGCTTCCTAAGATTTGAAAATAGGATCCAAAACAAGACAGAGTTTCAGCATCCACCAAGTATCTGCAAGGTGATAAAGGATATTTATGAGAAATCCGCTACCAGCTGATGAAATACCTGCAAAGTGCTCTAAAAAACACATATTTTGACTTCAAGGGTCCTAGTAAGTGCCACTTCCACTAAGAACACAGTTTGAATGTATAATCAGTAGTGTTTACAAGATCCAACCATGCACTTGTCATTAGTTAATGAGGCAAATATGTTCATCACTGTTGGGCTGCCACGGCAACACCAAGCACATTAGGAGAGTAACCCAGGAACACAACTCAGCCCTGGGGATTAAACCATCCTTGTCAGCAGAAATCGAGATGGAAATAGTTTGAGCAGTGAAATCCATAAGATGAAACAACTCAAGTAAATGCCTTCAGTCAGGACTCTGAGTCTGATCATGAATTTTGTGTTTTGTTTTTTGTTTTTGTTTTTGTCTTCTGGAATCTCTTTCGGTTTGGGTATTGGGTGCTTAGAAATCCTTTCTGAGATAAATATGAATGAGATAAATAACCTTCAAGGAATCATTTTTTAAAGTTCTTGTATTTTTAAAAAGCAGTCACATGATGACTTTGTGAAAGAGTTTTATTTTGCACAACTCCAAACCTCCAGATTTTTTTCCAGTGGTGTAGAAGGTACCAGCTAAACTGTACCACTCAGTAATTTTGAGCCATTCTAAAGCAAAGAGTTCTATGTCATCTGAGATGGTAACATTAGCAGGAAAAAAGAAAGTCCTTTTGGTACCAAAGATTGTACTGATGTTTCTACACAACAAACCATTCTCCTTTCATGAAAATAATATATTAATATATTATGCTACTAGTATGGAAGTTGTCTTTAGAGATATTAAATTCTTCAAACTCAAACCTTATTTTTATTTGGAGGAAGACTTCCATAGCTTTTACATTTCATAATAATTTTGTGGAAGCATTTTGCCCTTTAGATAAATGTTAGACTGATAGGGCTGAAATGAGACTTCCAGTTCTTTGATACTCCCCCTATTATTCAAATGGAAAGATTGGCATTCTCTTTATGTCATTGTTAAATTTTCTTAGTGCAGAAATAACATGATCAATCGAACGTTGCTTCCATAATAGATGATTAATTTTAAGAGGTTTAATAATGAAACTGTGTGTCAGTATTTTGCACTTCCAGTGAATTAAATTAACCAATATTTTTTTCCTGTGGTTAAATTTATTCACATTATCACATTAATGTGTTTTCAAAGAAGCACATGAAATTATTAAGAAAATGATTCAAAAAGTTTTAACATGTGATAGACTTGACCAATAGGCCAGTTTTCTGTTAACTTAAGCTACACTGGTAGATAGTCCTAATGGTAAATTGTTTAGAAAGCAGAAGTACTGTGTTCCCACTTCTATTCTTGGTCTGAAACACTTAGATGACTTCTTGTTTCTTAGGGGAGGCAGTCTGAGGAAAGGAAAAAAAATAGCGTGGGGAATATGTATGTTTTGTTTCTTAGGGAAGACAGTCAAAAAAATAATAAATAGCATGGAGATTATATATATCTATGTTAACATAGAAAAGGATGTTCACAGTAGGACAGTTCTTAATATATTAATAATATGTAGTATTATTTTTTAAAATATAAGAGAACCTTAGGTTTCCGAATACTATTTTTTAGAATTCATGTGTCTCTAAGAAAACAAAAAGAATGCATAATGGAGATGCATAGCTAAAAATGGACAGAACATGATGCACTTTTATCATTAACCTCTGATCTATTGGAAATCTTAAAATAATTAGGCACATATTCTGAATGTAAATTTGAAAAGTCTGATTTATTTAACAAATCCAAAGTAGGTGATTTATAGAATCTTAATTTTTACTATATTTACTATTTGTGGGTAAGTTGTTTGAGCAGCCTTTAATCTGAATTCAATAAGAAATCTGAAGTCACATGTAAATTCTGATAGGTAAAATCCATCTCAGAACTCATTCAAAGTATGTCTTTAAAAGCAGCAGCAAGGAACCTTGCCATTTTTCCTGCATCATCAACAAATGTGTTTAAACAATTTCAAGGCCACAGCAAAAGCATCCCAGCCACTCACTGTTTTGTGCATTAATGTTTATCTCATAGATGCATTGAGTAGTGCCTTTTTAGCTTCGCATTGCTTTGTTAACCCTATACTTTGTGTTCTCTAAATAAATTGCCCAGTTCTGAAAATGTTCAGCATATAAAAAGGGCTTCAGTATCGACTGAGACTACTTTTGTTCATCTCAGGGAACTTTCAATACTCAAGAATGAATTCAATTAAAGGCATTTCGCATTCAAAGATAACAAATTGTACAAGACCATTTCACTCCCTATTGTATACCTTTCCATCCACACCCCGCCCCCCACCTTCACAAGCTACTGTGGCCTTCTTACAGGGATGAGGCAAGGAGATCCCTGAAGGCTAAATAGCAAGGATAAGAAGAATAATTCCATTTAACCCAGAAGGGGCCAAGAGGGATCATGATAGAATCAAATTATAAATACATACTTGAAACATCTTTTTTTTTCTTTTGAGACTACCATATGTTCACAGCTTTAATTTTTTTTTGTTTCTTTTTCATGATTTACCCCCGTACCTGGCAATGCTCAGGCAGCCGATTGTGAAATATTCTTGTCCTTTTGAGAACATAGTTGTTACTGTGCTGTTGACATGAATAGGCCATGGAAACATTTTCATCATTATTACACAGCCTGTTCTATATTTAATATTAAGTTGCTGGAATTTAAAAAAAATGAATCAGTAACAGATTTTCTGGGCAAATCAAGTGATTCAGCCCACAGGACTGATGAAATTACTGTGGAAGTTTTTCTGTCTGAAAGAAGGTGCTGGGCATTCAAATGTCTTTATGTATTGTATATCATATGAAATGTATATCAATTGCTAATGGGAATTTCTACATATATGCTTACATAAGCAATTTATTTAAATAATGCTATGGGTAGTGTACATACCAACTAGTTATTAAGCTTCTACGCAGGACAAGGGTGAACAAAGTAATTTATTTCTAATTGAGCCAGTTAGTCATAATGCTCACGATGTGGTTTTTGGTTCATAAGAGTTGTTTTCATGTGCTTATTGTTGGGAGTATCTATAATTGTGGAAGAAGTATAGGGAGAGTTATGTATAGTTAGTTGTTACCTCTACAAGTCTGAAAGTTTCCCCATTAGACCTTATCAATATACCAATGTTTTAAAAACTGAGTGAGAGAGGATTATTGTTCATATTTGATTAAAGAAAATCCAAATAAAGCCCACCTAGAAATAGACATTTTATTATATATGTGCTATAGATATATCTATATAGTACAAATAGACACGTGTGATGCATATATACGATGTTATATATGTGTGTCTGTGTTACACACACAGAGTCTGTAATATACACACACTAGATTTGTGTCATGCTAACATCTTCAGAGGCTGTACTGTTAAGCGTTCTGGAGATAAGAACACTTTAGAATAAAGAAGTTCTTTTGAGACTTCAGTTACTAACCTGCTTTAAGAGGGATCTACTTTATAACTGAATTCTATTGTTCATACCTAAAAGAGTTTCAGTAAGGGTCTAGTATGGCCAAATCTTAAAAAAAATTTTAAAAAAAGCAAAAAAAAGAAAAAAAAGAAAAGAAGAAAAAAAAAGAAAAAAAAAAGAAAGAAAAATTAACAATTAAAAATTAAAAAAAGTTTTCAAGCTGGAAATGTATGTGAATGACAGTTTTCAGATTGTGGCTCCCAGGCCCTGTGTCTCCCACTTAAGTAGCACCTTTTAATAAATACTGTTTCTTTGTGTAGGCAAAAGCACAAGTGTTTCCAATGTATATAGCAGGAAAAAGAAAAAAAAGAGTTTACAGAGATAGCACTGCTGCACAGGATAATTGCTACTGAGTATTTCTTATATCATTTGTGGAACTGAAAGAGAAGATTTATTCCGTCAAGTTCATTCTGTTCAACACTGTTTCCTATTGTTTATGTACAGCAACTGGGTGTTATTGTTTTATCATTTGTAAAATTGTAAAATAAATTAAATCTCCCTTTTTTTTTCCAAGTTTTCTCTGATCTCTTATATCCAAGCCCTCGGTTCCACTTTGTCTATCACTATAAGACGACAGTTTTTTTTTTTTTAATCTTTATTAAATTTTTTTTAAATTTTTTATTTATTTATGATAGTCACACAGTGAGAGAGAGGCAGAGACATAGGCAGAGGGAGAAGCAGGCTCCATGCACCGGGACCCCGATGTGGGATTCGATCCTGGGTCTCCAGGATCACGCCCTGGGCCAAAGGCAGGCGCCAAACTGCTGCGCCACCCAGGGATCCCAAGACGACAGTTTTTAAGAGGCTCTAGTGAGTGCTTTGGTCTTCCCTGCCCCCTCAGCCCCGTCAATGGCAATTTGACAAACCACTTATTGTCAAAACATATGTACAGGAACATGAATAATATCCAAAGTGTCATGAACATCGGGAAATCCTTAGCAATTTTTGGTGTGGTACATTCTGTTTGTGGTTGAGGGAGTGGAGTGCCACACCATTTACATTTGTATCCAATTTATATTCCCACGTTCAGCTGTCAGTGGGTCAATCAAGTGTGGAAGCTGGAGAGGCCAAGGGCTCCTTACACGTGGTGCATTCTTGTGGCCACCCTTGACTTAGGATTTCAACTGCTGTTATAGCCCTTACTACTGTTGGCAGTTCACGTTCCAGGAGATGATTCTGAAAACCCGCACATTTAAATCTTTTTCTATGGCTTTCTCTGCCAAATCTACGTTTTCAGACTCTGCACTATTTTCTCTAGAAACTAGTAAGTCTGTTTCCATGAGGTCACTTTTAGCATTCTGCAATTTTAAAGTATTTGCTAGAGACCCAAGAGTGAACCATTAATAATGTTTAATGAATATAGATCTTATTTGTATTTACATAATTACCTTTTTTTTAAAGATTTTATTTATTTATTCATGAGAGACACACACAGAGAGAGAGAAAGAGAGAGAGGCAGAGACACAGGCAGAGGGAGAAGCAGGCTCCCTAGGGGATCCTGATGTGGGACTCGATCCCAGGACAGCAGGATCACGATCTGAGCCAAAGGCAGAGGCTCAACTGCTGAGCCACCCAGGCATCCCTACTAATTAACTTTCATTTCCAAGGATCCATATACAATGAGTAATCCCTGTTGATCCTTGGAAAAAAACCAGAGCTCGGCATAAACCTATGAAATGGAAATGGTACTATCTCAGTTTTACAGATGAACTTGAGAGGTTATGTGACTTGCTGAGAGTCACATAGCTCAGAAGTGAAAGAACCAGGATTTGAATCGAACTGGTCTGACTTCAGCGTCTACCGTCTCACCCATCACATTTTGATGCTGCCTCTTTTTAAATGGCAAGAAGTTCTCCAGGAAACTAAGTTTGCAAACAAATTATTATTTAATGAGCACAATGCTAAGTGAAACAAGTCATTCAGAGGAAAACAAATACCATATGATTTCACTCCTATGTGGAGTTTAAGAAACAAAACAGATGAACATATGGGAAGGGGGGAAAGGAGAGAGGGAAACAAACCATAAGAGACTCAGCGATAGAGAGCAAACTGAGGGTTGCTGGAGGGAGGTTGGTGGGGGATGAGCTACATAGGTGATGGGTATGAAGGAGGGCACTTGTCATGAGCACTGGAGAGTATATGTAAGTGATGTATCACTAAGATCTATTCCTGAAACCAATATTACACTATATTTTAACTCGCTATAATTTAAATAAAAACTGAAAAAAAATCGCACATATTAAAAATATAGGTAAGTATATAGGAGAGGTATATAATTCAGACATTGAGACTGTCCAATAAGCTATCCATGTCTTCAAATAGACCAATCTTCTCCAATGACAAGAAGATCTGTGCCCTCCAGGTCAGTGGCTCTTTCCTAGTTGTGCTGCATGAATGCTGCCAATTCTTGCTCCAAACTCTTTCTACATTATTTTTTAATGCAAACTCTATGACTCTTATATTAAAGTCTAACTTTATGTATCACAAAATCTATTACATTACAGTTCTTTAAAACTCTGAGAGGTGCTTGGGTGGCTCACTTGGTTAACCATCTGCCTTCAGGTCAGGCCATGATCCCGCGGTCCTGGGATGGAGCTCCACATTGGGCTCCCTGCTCATCAGGGTCTGCTTCTCCCTCTCCTTCTCCCTCTGCTGCTCCCTGCTTGTGCTCTCTCTTTCTCTGTCAAATTAATTAATTAATTAATCTATCTTAAAAATCAATCTAAAAAAAGAAAATTAAAACTCTAATTATAATATTCCTATACAACCATTTGATTGAATTTGGGTGTTTCATTTAGCCTTGAGGTTGAAGGTATGCAGATGACAGAGTTCATGCATTTTATGTATTTTAAAAATATTTTTTACTAATTTCCTTCTCTTTATGAGAGTTGTAATAAACTAATCTCCAAATTATGGGGGCAGCTTAATGATTTTCCCTATAAATGAGTTTTCATCATGCACAAGCCCACAAAAGAAAAAAAAATATTGGATATAAGAATAAAATTAATGTTTGATACATTCTTAAGAGACATATCTCAGTCACTGAGTTGCTTAATTTCCAGAATCTCAAAAACAAATTATGTGAAATAATTAAATGCCAATATAAACCTCCCTCTCTCTCTCTCTCTTTTTTAATTTTTTTTTCTTTCCAGATTGCTGATTTCTGACTCAATCACCAAAGTAGAATTTCTCACATAAACACAAGAGAATACTAATCCAGGACATGTTCCACAAAAAAATATGCTCATTGAGTAAGCATTCTATATATCTCTCCTTTGGAGATTCAGAAAATACACAACATATTAAAAGATCTGAGATACAATAAAGAAAAAAATTCTATTTAAGAAGACATAGGTAATTTTGTATGTAATTTCCGTTAAATGTGAAATTATGCTCTACACAACATACTTTGAATAATACTTCAGAATACAACAAACAATGCAGAGAAGAGAACATGCAAGACTTCAGGTAGAAAGGCTGATAATTTATTCAGTGGATTGTTTTCCCCATAAACTAAAATATTATCTTAGTAATACTTTCAAATATGAAAAAATAATTTTAAGCTGATATATTTATTTCTTCTCTAAACACCCTATATTAATTTTTACATTAACAATCATCCTTTCTTTTTCTAAAATACTAATCAGACCATGGCTGCATGTTTAAGACCAGTCCCAAACATAACTTTATTGCTCATTCTGGGCAATGCAAACAAATTAGCTTCCAGGCATTAATAGCTCTCTCCAGGCAGTCTGTCCAGACCAGCTTCCTTACCTCTAGCCTCCCAACACCTCACAGATGGGCTGTCTATGAGCACATCTGCCAATGCTGCCAAAATGTAAACACACTCAGCTAGCAGCAGATGTTTTCCAGGAAAGATCACTACACTGGAGTTGTTCTGCTGCGGAATCTATGTTAGTTGATCTCCATGATTGGGCGGGAGGTCATTGTGTTCAAATAGATCATTTGTCTTTCAGATATCAAACAATAACAGGGGAGATGCAACCTCAACTGTTTGGTATTTACCATGTGCATATATGCAGAAATCTTTCTGAAGGCTCTGCTAATAATAAGTCAAATTTTAAAAACATTCAGATAGTATACTGGTGTCATATAACCAGTAGAGGGGAAATAGCAATGTTAAGGACAATAGAACTGAAGGATTATTGTTAAACACCATGACTGATGCTCTGGAAAAATATAATAAATAGCTACTGCTTATTAATAGGCAATTGAAAAAAATAGAGAAAGGGACTCCCTGGGAGTTCACACAGATACATTCTTCCTCTGAGGAGGGAAAGAGAAAAAGCGGAGGACCAGATCCAAAACTTCATCATTTGAATAGCCCAGCTCCCAAGAAGGTAAAACCCTCATCCAAGGAAACTTGTTTTATCAAAATAATTGGGGCCATGTTTAGGAAAAAAAAAAATCAGGAAGCTTGTTTTATCACAATCAGGCCATGTTTGGGAAAAAAATCCTGGATGTATCATAGATTGACACCTCCCTAAATACTGAATTTGTAGCTTTTAAAATGTTCAATAGTAACAGAAGGCTAATGACTATTGACTCGGACAAGGTGGTTCAAGACCGTCCGTCTTTAATAGTTTGTGGGGAATTTCCACAGTCAATAATCAGGTTGTGTCTATGGAAGAAGGAGCTCAGGGCTACAAAAAGGCCTGGTTTAGCCCTGACTCTCTCATTTATTTGCTCTTAAGTCTCTAATTTTCAAATGATCTGTTAACTGGTGAGAGAAAAAATACCCTCAGAGTCTGACTCTAAGATCTGATAATTGATAGGAAATACATGGTGAGGATTTGTAATATACTATACACTGATGGTACTATTAGAATATTACAATATTGTAAAAATAAACCTATTTTCTTAAAACAAATAAATTATACAATCCTTAACATACATTCATAACCAAGTAGAATACAGAACCCTCGATTTTTCATGATAATTTTACCACAAGTTTAAATCATATGTAGTATATTATGTGTGTTTTAGACTTAATAAAAGTAAAATCATACTTTATGTATCATTTTATCACTGGAGTTTTCCCTTGGTATATGTATGGCCTGTACTGATGTTGACGCATATACTACTCTGATTCATTTTCACGACTACTCTGTTTTCTCCTGTGTGATTGTAAACTTTTAAATCCTGTCTGTTGGAATATTCTGAAAGAATAATTTTCAGACAACATCCTGCCTCCAGCTTTCTAGATGCAAAGTGGAAGCTTCTCCACAGGTGTCAAGATGTACTCTATGTGCACACCTGTATGTCTCAAGTCAAAAAGTTCTGTTAATTACAGGTTGATCCTCCAGGTAAACATTTTCTTTACAATAAACATTTAATTCCACTTCACTCCAAAGGAAACAGGGAGAAGATGCACTCAGCATGACCAGGACCCTGACCGTACTGAATGATAGCTATTATAGATTTCAGGGCAGTTTTCTATCACTCTTGACTTATCAACCCTTCAGGAACTTGTTACTTCCTTTAATCGTATT